CCCGCCCTGCCGCAGCAGCCTGGCGTGGCGTTAGGGCCAGGGGGGAGAGCGAGCAATGGAGCCGTTTCTGGAAAAGCCCTGTCCCACTGAATAGGATAAAGCTGACTGTGCCGGAGGAACCACAGCGGAGCGGCTGCCTCCCCCTGCTCCTGCTGGCAGCGCCGGGGCTCAGTTCCCCTGCTTTGGGACAGCCCAGGTGGCTGCCAGAGCTTGTCCTGCCCGCGGGGACGATTCACCCCCTCCCAGGGTGGGGAGCGGGCACCCTCGAGGTGCCCTGTCTGGTCCGGGGGGCGAGTCCCCAGGGAGGGCAGAGCGGCAGCGCTGGGTGACGTTCGCTGCCATTAACTCCCACTTGCTTTTGCGGAGCCTGGTACGCACGCTCGTCCCCCTCCCCACCGAACCCGCTTTTCACTCCTGTAGTTAAGAAAACTTAACTTTTCTATTACTGCACATTTCTCTTACCCAGGTGCTTAATTACCATTGTCCCAGGGAAATGTCAGTGTGACTCAGAGACAGTTTCCCATTAGAAAGCGACAGATGAATATTAATTAAACTTGCTGGTGGGTGGGCTCGCTCGCAGCTCCTTTCCTGGGGGGACCCTGCCACCCCTCACGCCTGTCCGGACCCCAACCAGCCTTGGGGAGGACCCGCTCGCCCAGCTCAGCGCAGCCACGGCACGTGTAGAAAATCAGAGGGCTCTGCTCCGGGGACAGGAGTAACTCAACCTCCCTCCCGGAGCGAAGGGGATCAGCCCTGAGGAAGGACCCTTATTACAGACGACTTTTCTCTCCATGCCCGTGGGGTTTGCTCCCTCTCCAGGAGCGTATCTCCCCCCGTTGCAATTACCCTGCACGGGGAGGCGGCTGCACCCCGGGCTGTTGGGCTCTGGCAGGGTGCTGCGAGCGGGTCTGCTTTTGGGGTGGGGGGATGGCAGCAGCCATGGCTCCGAGGCCCCGGGCACGCACCGGCCTTGGGGGCGATGCTGTTGCTCTCACCCGGAGATGTGGCTCCAGGACGGAGCCGTTTGCCTGCCTCCTGGCAGGCTGGACCAGGGAGGCCGGGCTTTAGGGATGGACTTCTTGGGGTTGGGAGGGCTATTTGATAGAAATGATGGTTCTGGTGTAAGAAACGCTCCTCCCCACCGTGTCTGCGGTGCCTGCGGGGCTGCTATTCCTGGCAGCAAGGGTTAAACCTGCCCGGGAGGACGCCCGCAGCCCCTGGTTTGCAGCTGGGGTTTGTTCTTCTCTGCTTTGTTCTGTGCCTGTGCAGCCCAGCACATCACAGAGAGGGGGGGCACAGCTGCCCTCTGCCCGTGCCCCCACGGGGCCCAAGCTCTGTCCCCCCTCGCTGCAGCCTCCCCGGATGGGTCCCACAGGGGACGTCTCCTCCGTCAGCCCAGGGGAGATGCAGGGTGCTCTGCCCCTGCCTCACCCCCTCCCTGTGCCCTGCTCCCTTGGTCCCTCCGTGCTGGTACAGCCCCAGCCTGGGGGAGCTAAAATCCCCCTCCCAGCAAAAGCTGTGGGGTCCCACGTGCTTTCCAGGGAGCGGAGCCTGGCACCCCAAACATGGGTGCTAGTGGTGGCGGCCACCAGCCTTGGGGACAGAGGACCATGGGCAAATGGCACA